CTCCGCCGCTCCCCCGGGCTCTGCTCTCGCCCTCGCCTCTGGGAGCTTGTCACTAGGCCCACGTGGTACATTCCTCTCATTCCTCCTGCTGGCTGCTGTACGGGGAGCCCCGGGGCCTGCAGAGCCTGCCTGAACTTCAAACCAGCCCCTTTGGGGAGCTTCTTCCACGCGCAGACCCTGAGCTCCCCACCAAAGGCAACCCTGGTCCTGACACTGCTGCAAGCACCTGTCTTACCTGCAGGGAAACCCCGCTGTGGCTTGTCCAGCATACTCCATCCAGGCCTTGCTGCGCGGCTGTTCCTGGACCAGCCTTTCCACCGCCCAGCAGAGCTAGCACGGCAGTGCTCTTCCCATTTCACAGCAAGTGCAGGTTCGCCTGCACCACACAGATCTCAGTGGAGCAGAGCTATGTCCAAGCAAGCTCAAAACAAGTTCCCTGTAAGCATAAATACTATTGGCATGTACAAGGCTAGAAAGGCTCATCTCATTCCTGAAGAACAGCAGAATTCTTCGAATCCGAGATGTGGACACCAGGAGGAATCTATGTGGTTGCTGTCCTGCATCCCTTGGGCATCCGGGGTGAACTCTCATTCCCTCTTTGCTTACATGCCCTGTGGCCTTCCCAGCCTCCAGGGCTAGGACTCTCGGACAGGCTGTCTGGCCTCATGCACTACTGGTGGCAGATGCCTGCAGATCATCTCCTGGGAAGGTTAACACAGCCCCTGCAAAAAGAAGTCTAGGGAGAGAAGTAACAAGATAGAGCTTTTTTAAGGATGAGGCCTTCAGCAATCGGCTGATCCTGGAGCTTCCGCAGCAGTGATTTGTTTGCTGTGGTGTGCTCCACAAGCACTGCTGGCTCTCCCAGAGGCCCAAACTACAACCCTGGGTATGACTTCCAGAGAAGACTGTGGAAGACAGACTCACATGCCATGACAGGTGCTACCAGGCCCCATTGCATACCCCTGAGGAAGAGCCTGAGGCATATTTGGCTGTGGAACAAGCTGTGGTGCCTCTACCCTAGCAGAAGCACTGCTGCCCACCAGCCCAGATGTTCTTCCAGGTGGGAGTTCACCTTCACGGAGCTGGCTGGAAAACTCCCTACAAAAGTTAAGTCAAACCAAAAGCCTTTGCAGGGAGGATTGCACCACAGTGAAGTGGTGCTGCAATTCTGGCCAGGCGCCAGCCCGACTCACTGCCTGTCTGCCCAGGCAAAAGCTGAAAGACTGGGGATTTCTACCCATCAGAGCAAAACAGCTGTTGAAATATTAGGTCTGCCTGGAGAAGGGCTGGTCCTCCTCAGCCCCTGCAGCACCTCTGCTCTGCCTTCTCTTCAGGCTCTCTCTCCCTGCCTCAATCTTGATTACTTGCCCACACCTCATTGCAGCTCACCCTCTCTCCTGACCTCCAGACATCAGGGTGCAAAGTGCCCTTGCTGTCCTTTGGCATGCTGCTGTCAAGCTAATCTTCCTTCCCATGAAGCCCCGCAAAGCAGCGCAGCTGAGAGGACCTGTGAGAAGGTGAGCTGCCGGGAAAGGGCTGTGCTGGCTCTCCCTTTGGCAAGGAAACTGTCTACTTCTGTTGCACAGAGGCCCTGAAAAGCTCCATATTTAGAAAACTCCCTAGGTTGACCTGGGGATATTATGAAGATCTAGAAAGCAGGGAAATTCAGATCCAGGTGTGGATTTTGGCATGCCTTCCTGCATTCAGAGCACACAGAGCAAGTTTCTGTGTGTAGTTCAGGCACATCTTTAAAAGATGTTGCTGTTTTGGGCTCATGTTATCATGTTTTGTGTCACTCAGAATGCTATTTGTTTTAGCAACAGCTGTTCACCAGTTTGCATCAAAGTCTTTTACCAGGGAAAGTACTGATTTTTTTTTAAATCAAGAGAAGATTATGCTTCATCTTCTAAACAAAGATGCCAACATTTGTGGTATTGAAATTTCTTTTTGCTTTTAAATTTACCTAAGTAATTCAATGACCAAAACCACCCCTCAAAAGGCAAAGATACCAGCCTCCTGTTTGACCTGACATGTAATTTTCCTTTTGGGCAGCAAGCCAAAAAACTCCGGTTCTGCTCCCTACCCTGTTGATTACTGCTCCTTGCCTGTCCTCAGCAGCACCCAAACCTTGGATCTCCTCTGCAAGTCCCCCATTGCTCCTGCTGCAGATTTCAGCCCGGGCACCCTGGAAAAGTCCTATCTTAGTAAGTGCACCAGCAGCTTCCAAGGGGCTTTCACCCTGGCTGGCTCCCCAGCCCGGCGGGACTGTTGTCAAAGCCAGCTCTCAGGGCTTTCTTCCCTTTTAAAACCTCGGCACAGCTGGCACCAGCCTGGCAGCTCCACCGGGAGGCCGATCACCGGCTGACCTCACTTCCCTCCCCAGGGTGTGAAGCAAGAGACAGGCACCTGCCCACCTACTGTCCAGGCAACCTTTGCCCAGGTGATACAACTGCTGCAAACACTGCCCTTCTCCAGGGTTGTCACACACCACCTTTTACTTGAGCTGAATTTGCTTCATTAAATCTAGCATGTCTGTGGCTGTGATTTCTCCTTTCATTCTCATATCAGAGCAGTTCCTGTGTACAAAGGATCCAAAACAAACCTATTCTTCCCCAGTTTGCTCATCATCACCGTATCTCAGCCTCAAATTCAGCTGGGACCGAAAACCCAAGCTCTCCTCCCCAGCCTGTATTTATGCAGCCACGGCCCTGCCGTGGACTGCTGGAAGAAACACCTGCAAACTCCCCTTCCTGCCTGTGTTTAGGCAGCAGGGGACAAGCCACGCAGGCACGCAACAGGCATCTAGAGCGACCAGGCGCGGCGGAGGCAACCGCAAGGGCAAAGCAGTGCGAGCAGCTGTACTGACCTGCTCCTCGGCACTCATCTGCGCAGGTTCGCTCCGCTCCCCAACATTGTTCCTAAGCATCTTCTTCCTCCCAGAAAAGTCTTGGCTGTGAAGTTCCGACCTTTCAAAGCAGGGTCCCCAGAGGGAGCACTGCCGGACTCGGAGACGCGGCGGGCGCCTGTGCATATGTGTGTGTGTGTGTGTGTGTGCGCGCGCGCAGGGGTGTGTACGTGTTCGCAAGGCAGGCGAGCGAGCCCAGCACCACCACTCCCTCGCACAAGGAAAGGAAAGGAATTTCTTCCGAGAGCAGCTTATCATCTTGGGAACCTCCGTTTCCCAGCAGAGCGGCCGAACGCGGAGGTCAATGAGTTACCCGGGAGTTGTGCTATAAACAGCCCAGCACGCCTGCGGATCGCTGGCTCCAGGGGGGAAGCACGAGCCCCAAGGCACTACCTGCACGCCGGGTTTGCAGAAAACAAGTGCCAGCGACGCCGCCTGCGGGCAGAAAGTCATGGAGTAGGTCGGGGTGGTTTTCAACCCGATTGGCATCAGCGCGGCTGGACCAGCCACGGGTCCAGCGGGTTTCAAGCGACTGTTTTGCGTAAGCCGGCTGTGCTGGCACGCACCCATGCCCTCCTCCCGCTCCGTCCCCACGTCCTTGAGGCTCAGGACTTTCTGTCCTAGTTACACTTCAACTCCCCCCGCTGCGGCAAAGTGCCAGAGGAAAGGCTCTACCTGCGTCAGGATTTGGGCATCCTGGGGAGGTAGCAGGCAGACGTTCATCACTGAAACTTCCTTCTTTTTTGACACACACCGTAAATACAGACCAACAGAATGAGAGACCTCTGTACCCAGGAGTATTTGTGCACCCAGGCTACGCTCTGCAAACAGTCTGCACGGACAAAAATGGTTTGGTTTTTTGTTTGTTTGTTTTGAAAGCAATGAAAGAGTTAACAGCAACGTTTTCTAATATGCCTGTTTCCTTCTGGGAGTGCTCAACAGCTGGCCGTTCCTTGGCAGGTTCAAAACAAACCCTCTTTGCTTTTCATTTTGTGATTTTAAAAGGTACCTGAAAAAAAAGGAAGTCAGCCTAAACCTCACTTCAGTCCGGGAGTGGGCGGGGGGAACAAACACGATGAAACATTTTGTTTCACATCACATGAACTTCTGTTTCATGGAGTTTCTTTTCCTCTGATACTGTTGTGGGGAGACCTGTTTTGGTGTTAGCTGGGGATGGTATTTTCCTTCCTTCATCCTCTGCAAACTCACTGAGGCCAAGCAAGGGCTCTGGCTGGGAGACACTGAGCCCACGCTGCACGCTGCCACGTGGGGAGGGCAGAGTCCTGAGCCTGTCGTGGCAGGAGTGAGCAGCACCGGCAGGGTCATCTTCTCATTCTCGCGCTGACCCTCTGCTTTTGCTCTTGCCTTCAGCCTTCGTAAAATTGGCACAGAGCTGCTGATAGAGGCCCCCCAAGGAGGCCCCCTCCTGCAATGCTGGCCCTTCAGGCTGCCCCCAGGACCGGGCTGCTGCCAGCTGCAGGCGCTGGGGGCAGGGCAGCCTTCCCCGAGGCACCTCGACCGCAGCGCACTAACGGGAGCCTTGCACACGCGGCATGCCCAGCACCGGGCAGCCTCAGGATGATGTCTTTCTCGGCACACAGCTGGCTGGAAGGGGCTCGAGAAGGAGGAGGATCTGGCACAGATGCTGTCCAGAGGGGAAATGCAGCTATTCTACAGTAAAACCTGCACGGCAAGCCACTGAAATGCAGGCAGACAAGCCTGATTCTAAAGACCTTTTTTTTCACTCCCTCAAGAGTTTTTTTCTCCTCTGAGACCCCTTTTACTCTTCTCTGTTCCGTGCAGCACATGGCAATCCAAAGCTGCAATCGGCACAGGGAAAGTTGGTTCATCCAGCAACTAAAGGGTTAAGCAGACTCTGGGGCCGAACTAAGCTGAACTCCAGCGCTTAATTTTCAGAAGTGCTGAGGCCTGCTCCTTTCCTCCGGTTTGCATTGTTTTCGGCCAGAAGTGGAGGAAGTAAGTGCTCTTGGAAAATAGACTGTGTGTATCAGCTGTGCTTCTGCAGGTCAGGACGGCTTGGATCCCCGGTGCAACAAATACGGCAGCCGGCGACTGCTCCCGGACTAATTTGTCAGGCTGATAACATGTGGGATTTGGCAGCCTATGGGGAGCAGTCTGGGCTGCTGTTTTGAGATCTCCTTACTGGTATTTGCTTATGAACTCCTAAGCATCCTCTCCATTCCTGCATACCACTATCCGAACATGACCACAGCTTCAAAGGCAGCAGCACGCACCGTCACCGCCCCGGAGAGCCTCCAGACTTCTCGGAGACAGAGCAGGGAAGTGGAGGCCGCAGATAAGGCACAGGAAGGAAGAAGGAAGGACCAGAGCTGGTCAGCTGAGCTCAAGGATTTGAAAATCGTTGCAGCCCCTGCCTGGCACTCCATGTTGCTGAGCCTCCTTCCTTTAGCTTATGCCTCTGTGAGAACAGCTTGGGGTTTTTTCCTGCTCAACCTGCAGGAAGGCTTGGGGGCCTCAGGGAAAGCCTCACTGTGTTGCACAACGTGCAGGTGTCTTGCAGAAACAGGCTTTACTTAATGATAAGATACAGGAGGCAGCCAGGAATGGCAGCAGTAAGCATGTGTCCCCATGGTCTCTGTCTCTCAGTGTTTCTCCAATATGGAGCTCTTCCAGAGCTTTTGGTTTCTGCCCACCTCCCTTAGACATCTCGCTCCACCATCGCTGAGGCTGTGCCTGCAGCCACTGTTCCAGCGCGTTGCTTTGCCGGGGCATCCTAGCCCAGGTGATGGCAGAGCTACAGCCCCTGCTGGTGCCAGCACTGCTTTGGGGACAGCTGGGAGGTACAGCCACAGCCTCACGCCCCACAGCAGTTTTTAGGCATGAGACTATCTGGGAAAACCTTTCTGCATCTAGAGAAGCTTCTTCCAAAGGTCACAGAGGCAGAGAGGTGGCCTGGACATCATGTCCTCTGCAAGATCTTGGCAAATAGCTCATGAAGGCATAGCATACCCTCAGGACGCTTATCCTACCTCTTGCTGTCTCCTGCCACAATTCTCCCTGCCTGCACTAAGACAAGGTTATAGCGATATTGAGTGTGATGCCAGGCATTCCACCACAGAGCAACTTCACTGCATCCTGCACAAGGAACCCTCAGCACCAGCAGAGGACACACAGGGACATGAGAATATCTGTCATGAATATTCAACATTCCCAACTCGTCCCAGGTCTCCATGCAGTGCAGTCCCAGACCCTCTGACTCCTCTGAGATGGGGCTGCTCTTCATGTGACCTTTTTCCCCACGAACACAGAACAAGATCTTGCCCTTCCCGCTGCCCTTCTCTAACTGATGCCTCCTGTGTAGCCCTCATGCCCCCTCCCCACTCCAAATACCCCTTTCTACCACCATGAAGCCCAGCCTCTGCCGTAACAAAATGGTCTCCACCTCAGGCATCAGCCCCACAACCTGCAAGCTCCCATGCCGCTCCGCAGGGCCACACAAGGAACATCTACCCAGGAAGTACCTTGCAGCCTTGCCTGTGCTGGGAACCAGCAGGGAAATCCCCTCTGGTTCCTCCTTCAACCTGGAGAGCCTCACGTTTGTCTGGGCGCAGGGGTGGTGGGATGGGACACTTCTGGCACTCACAGCAGCAGAAGACCCTCTCCAGCTGATGGAAAACTTCCCTCAGCCGGCTGGTTTCTCTTTGCTGATGGAAGAGCTGCTGCAAAGAGGTCCATGAGCTCCACCCTTCCTGCTGTCCCCATCCAGTCATGGCTTGTCTCTTTGGCCCCTCATCTCTGCTGTTCTCCCAGGCTGGAAATATCTCTGCTCTGCACTGGCCAGAACATTAAATGGCCATAACCTTATCAATAATGCAGCAGAATTGATGGCAGGTACCTTGGAGACAGCCACTGGCTCCTGAGGGACTCCCAGGCCTCCCTGAACATTGCCAGGAGGGGCCTGGGGTGCGGATAAATGCCTGCTGTCCACATTAAGGCTGGGGAGCTCAGGCGGCAGCTGGGGGCGGGAGCCCTCCTGGCTTAGCTCACCTCTCCAGACCCGGAGTGAGCTGAAGGACATCTTTGCTGACCTACATGAGCTGACTGCTTACTGGCCAGAGGGCTGGAAGGGACAGGGAGAACAGCAGCTGGCCAAGGACTGTGGGCAAGTGACCGTTTTAGCCTTTGCACCATGGTCGTGTGTGCTGGGCAGCTTTTTCCCTAGGCCCCAGGAGCCCTTCGCTGCCAGACTGTGCTGGGGACAGTAGAGGAATCTCAAGCTGATATGTTCGTAGGGGCAAAGCTGGCTGTTGCCAAGCCTAGAGGCACTTGAGAGTCCAATTAACTTGGAAAAAAATAAGAAGCACTGTGCCTTTCTTTGACAGAGACATGGAAGGCCATTTCATTAGGACTACATGCCCAAGAGAGGCAAATCTGAGCTGGTTTCCTGCAAGTTACAGACTGGTCTGGAAGCCGCTCGTGCTCTGCAGAAACTGGTTCATGCCAAAGGTCAATTCTTCTTGCTAAAGTAAGCAGAGATTGGGGGG